TACGAGCGACCTCCATGACTAAGCCAATGCGGCGCTCAGCAACCCCATTCTGCTGCGGAGAGGCCGGAAGCGTGAACGTCTGGCGGACGCCGTGCTCCGCACAGAAGGCTGCCAAGAGGTCTGAGGAGAACTCACCACCTTTGTCAGAGTGCAGACGCAGGACGGGAAACTCCGTCCCGAACCGCTCGCGGAGCTGGAGACGGGCAGCGCGGATCCAAGGGATCAAAACATCAGGGACCTCCCCCTTGCGCTGCAAGGGGAAGACCGTGGTGTAGCGCGTGTAGTCGTCGACGACCAGCAGGAAGTACCGCTCGTGGCCCTGTCCACGGACGCGGGCTGGGCCCCACACGTCCAGGTGGAGAGTCTGCAGGGGAGCCTCTGTGGGAGGGAACGAGGAGGAGTGAGGAGCGGCGCGCTGCCGCCCCTCGACACAGGGAAGACAGGGAGGAGCAGGCGAGGGTGGGAGGGGAGGGAGAACCCTGGGAAGACCAGAGACAAGGACACGGCGGTGCATGTAACGAAGGCGCTGCACCGAGGGGTGACCAAGGCGGTGGTGCCAAAGGAGGGTCTGGTGCGACAAAGCGCGACACGAGCAGGGGGCCGCTAGCTGACCTGACGCAGACGCAGACGCAGCCACCTGAGGGGATTCAGTGGTCAGGGTGTACAGACTCGAGCCAGGCGCACGGGTAAACGTGGCCAGGTTCGGCCAGTCCGAGCACACGTACAGTGAGTCACTCGCTGACTCGCAGGAGTGAACTGGTCAACCCCGCCATCCTGAAGGTCAGCTCCACTCACCAAGTTCGTAGAGAACGAGGGGAGGTAGAGACCGGACAGCGAGCCAGACGGGGCGGCCGGACACGGCAGAACCGTGGAGTAGTGAGCAAGGACTGGACCCCCAGAGGGGTCCGCCAGGGAGACTGCAACTGGCCGACTAAGCGGCGTGAGTGTGGTGCAGTCGCGAAAGAAGGAGCGGGAAGCTCTTGAGTCAAGGGTGAAGGTGTACAAGGCCTCAGCAGGCGCAGTAACAGAAGAGCAGACTCACCAGCACCTGGAGCAGCAGCCTCACCAGCACCTAGAGCAGGAGACGCACTAGCACCTAGAGCAGCAGCCTCACCAGCACCTAGAGCAGCAGGCTCTATACCTGGGTCAGGCGGTACGCACAGGTAACAGGCACCGTCAGCACTAGTAGGCAACGCATACATAGCAGTGAGAATAGCATCATAGTCAAGAGCAAAGATATCTACCCTCTGCCTAAGCAGCTCCAGCCAGGTGGGGAGCTCAGCCGCGTCGCCAAACTCGGTACGCCAGGCGTCGCTCAGATGGGCGAAGCAGCGGGACTGTGTGTGACCAAGTGTCCCGCAAGCCTGACCAGCCCGAGCACCTGTGCGAATGACGTACGGGCAGCGAACGGTACTCCGAGACCCTCTACTCTGAGCGTACCACTCATGAAGCTGCTGGGGCGTAAGTGTCTCACGCGGACGCCGCTGCAGCTGCAGCTGGCCACTGCCAGACGCTCCCGACTGACCAGCTCCAAGGCGACAGCCACGACGGCTACCGCCACAACCCCAACTAGCGTACCACTCACTAAGCTGCTGGGGCGTGAGAGACTCGCGCGGACGGCACTGGAGCTGCATCTGGCCACCGCCAGTAGCAGCAGTAGCAGTAGTAGCAGCAGTAGCAGCAGCAGCAGCCTAGCAGCGGTAATGGAAGTAGCAGCAGTAGCAGCAGTAGCAGCGCGGGCAGGGCAGGCTCGGCAGCCAGGCAGGCAGACAGGTAGGCAGGCAGGGAGGCAGGCAGGCAGGCAGGCAGGCAGGCAGGCAGACAGGCAGGCAGGCAGGCAGACAGATGGTGTGGCAGCGCGCTAACAAGGCAGGCGCGCGGGAAGCGCGGTAGGGCAGGTGCTCACCAGTGGCGGGAAGGGCAGGCGCTCGCCGAGCGAGCAGGGCCGGCGCTCGGCTGGCAGCGGCAGGGTAGGCGCACGACGGCGGCGACGGCGGGGCCGCAAAAGCGGCTGCAGAGTAGGGCCGCGTCAGCTGCAGGGCTGGGGCCACGATAACGGCAGGGCAAGGCCACGGCAGCTGCTGCAGGGCGGGGCCGTGTCGGCGGCAGGGCGGGGCCAGGCGGGGCCGCGTCGGCGGCAGGGCGGGGCCGCGACAGCGACCTGGCGGGGCTGCGTCGGCTGCTGTAGGGCTCTGGGGCGGCGCGCGGCTAGGGCAGGGGCCGCGCGCAGGCTCTGGGGCGGCGCGACGGGCAAGCAGGGGCCACGCGCAGGCTCTGGGGCGGCGCGACGGGAAGGCAGGGGCCGCGCGCAGGCTCTGGGGCGGCGCGACGGGCAGGCAGGGGCCGCGCGCAGGCTCTGGGGCAGCGCGACGGGCAGGCAGGGGCCGCGCGCAGGCTCTGGGGCGGCGCGACGGGAAGGTAGGGGCAGGGCACGGGCTCTAGGGCGGCGCGACGGGCTCTAGGGCGGCGTGACGGGCAGGCAGGGGCCGCGCGCAGGCTCTGGGGCGGCGCGACGGGCAGGCAGGGGCCGCGCGCAGGCTCTGGGGCGGCGCGACGGGCAGGCAGGGGCCGCGCGCAGGCTCTGGGGCGGCGCGACGGGCAGGCAGGGGCCGCGCGCAGGCTCTGGGGCGGCGCGACGGGAAGGCAGGGGCAGGGCAGGGGCTCTAGGGCGGCGCGACGGGCTCTAGGGCGGCGTGACGGGCAGGCAGGGGCCGCGCGCAGGCTCTGGGGCGGCGCGACGGGCAGGCAGGGGCCGCGCGCAGGCTCTGGGGCGGCGCGACGGGCAGGCAGGGGCCGCGCGCAGGCTCTGGGGCGGCGCGACGGGCAGGCAGGGGCGGTGCGCGGGCTCTGGGGCGGCGCACGGCAAGGGCAGGGGCCGCGCACAGGCTCTAGGACCTCTCATGGCAAGGCAAGGCAGGGCAGGGCGCGCGCGGGTGGCGCAACGCAGAACAGGGCGTGGGGCAGCACGGTAGCTAGCGAAGGGTGGGCTCTGAAACCATGTTAGAATCTAGAAGCAGGAATGAATGAACTAGCAGCATGCAAGAGTACAAGTAGTAAACCCTAATTGGGTTGTACCCCATATGGGCTACCCCACTACAGCCTACACAATATGCAGCATATATAATTTGACAGCAGGGCAGCGCGCGGCCAGCAGGGCGGCGCGCGGGTCGCGCGACGGGCAGGGCAGGGCATACGCGCGGCGCGCGGGCAGGGGAGGGCGTGCACGGGCCGCGCGACGGGCAGGGCAGGGCATACGCTTGGCGCGCGGGCATGGCAGGGCATGCGCGGGTCGCACTGCGGGCAGGGCAGGGCATACGTGCGGCGAGCGGGCAGGGGAGGGCGTGCACGGGCCGTGCGACGGGCAGGGCAGGGCATACGCTTGGCGCGCGGGCAGAGCAGGGCGTGCGCGGGTCGCTCGGCGGGCAGGGCAGGGCATACGTGCGGCGCGCGGGCAGGGCAGGGCGTGCACGGGTCGCGCGACGGGCAGGGCAGGGCATACGCGCGGCGCGCGGGCAGAGCAGGGCGTGCGCGGGTCGCTCGGCGGGCAGGGCAGGGCGTGCACGGGTCGCACGACGGGCAGGGCAGGGCGTACGCGCGGCGCGCGGGCAAGGCAGGGCGTGCACGGGTCGCGTGACGGGCAGGGCAGGGCGTGCACGGGTGGGGAGCGACGCAGGCAGGGTGTGCGCGAGGCGGCGCGAAATAGGGCAAGGCGCGCGCGGGCAGCGCGACGCAGGCAGGGCATGCGCGGGGCGGCACGACATAGGGCAGGGCAGGGCAAGGCAGTGCAACAAGTGGGGCAGCGCTACGGGTAGGAGCGATCGGGTGAGTTTGTGTAGCGGGTGAGTGCGCCCATAACCCCCCAGACCAACGTGCCTCTGACAATCGGGGATCAATCGGGGATCTCCAGTGGGCCTCTGACATTCAACACTGAGAGACCACCCTAACCAGCCAAACCAACCTATCAACACAACCGACCTAACCAGCCTAACCAACCTAACCAACCTAACCAGCCTAACCAACCTAACCAACCTAACCAACCTAACCAGCCTAACCAACCTAACCAACCTAACCAGCCTAACCAATTTCCCTCGGCCAGGCGCCATCGGGAGAGAGCCACAACCATGGGAAGTCTGCATACATTACCCCTACCCCTCACACATACACCCCTCACCCTCGGGGATGCTCAAGCATCACCCCTCACAGTGCGGAGGGTGGATGAGGCGGGTGGTGACGGGGTGGATTTGGCTGTGGTACTTGGAAGGGTGAATGCTGCAGTGGCACCTGCTAGGATGGACTTGAGGGCCGCGTCAAGACCACTTGATGGAAGGTGCCATGTGGGAGAGGGTGGGGAGGGGATGGGAGGGGAGATGGTGGAAGGACGGGTGGGGTGGGTGGGGCAGGAATGCTGCTCGCAGTGGAATCTGTTAGGATGGACATGAGGCCGCGTCAAGACCACCAGGGGGACAGCGGGGGAGGGGTGGATGGGATGGGCTTGGGTGTGGTGAGGTCGGGTGGGGTAGGGTGGGATGAAGTGGGGTGGGTTTGGTATGTGAGGATGGTTTGAGCTGGGATTGCTGCTTGTGGCGGCAGGTGACAGGATGGGCGTGAGGGCCACACCAAGTCCTCCAGTGAGACAATGGGGGAGGGGTGGATGGCGTGGAGTCATGTGGGATGGGGTGGGATGGGGCGGAATTGAGGTGTTTTATGCTGCATGCAGCATCATCTGATAGGATGGATCCAGACCCCCTGGGGCAAGGGGGAGGCGGAGAGGAGAGTGCGGAGGAGTGGGTGGGTGGGTGGGTGGGTGGGTGGGTGGGTGAGTGGGTGGGGTGGGTAGGGTGCAGTGGTCGGAGTGGTTGGAGCATTGAACACGGCGGCATCTTATAGGCCTCAAGACCGCCTGCGGTCAGAGAGGCGAGATGGGCGGAGGAGAGGGGGAAAGGCGGAAGGGAGGGGGAAGGGTGGAGGAGAGGGGGAAGGGCGGAGGGGAGGAGGAAAGGTCACAGGGGAGCGGGAAAGGGCGCAAGGGAAGGGAAAGTGCGGAGGGGAGGGGAAAGGGCGGAGGGGAGGGGAAAGGGCGGAGGGGAGGAGGAAAGGGCGCAGGGGAGGGGGAAGTGCGGAGGGGAGGGGAAAGGGCGGAGGGGAGGGAAAAGGGCGGAGGGGACGGGGAAGGCGGAGGGGACGGGGAAGGCGGAGGTGAGGGGGAAGGCGGAGGGGAAGGGAAGGGGGGGCCGGAGGGGGAAGGGTGGAAGCGAAGGGAAAGGGCGGAAGGGGAGGGAAAGGGCAGAGGGGAGGTGGAAGGGCGGAGGGGAGGGGGAAGGGTGGAAGGGAGGGGAAAGGGCAGAAAGGGGGGGAAAGGGCAGAGGGGAAGGAGAAGGGCGGAGGAGAGGGGCGGAGGGGAGGGGCGGAGGGGAGAGGAAAGAGCAAAAGGGGGGGGGAAGGGCGGAGGAGAGGGTAAAAGGCGGTTGGAGGGAAAAGGCCGGAGGGGAGGGGTTAGTGCAGAGGGGAGGGGTTAGTGCGGAGGGGAGGGAAAAGGGTGGAGGAAAAAGGGCGGAGCATTTGCAACTGCGTTTGCCAGAACAGGCACCAGGGAAGTGACAAGACCGCCTTGGGACAGAGGTGAGGAGAGGTTGAGGTGGGTGGGGTGGGGTGGGGTGGCTTGAGGTGGTATGAGCTGTGAATGTTTCGTGCGGCTGCATGGCATCTGCTATGACCATGGTGAAGGCAGCATCAAACCTGCCTGGTGTGTGGTGCTATAGAGGAGAGGGCAGAGGGGGGGACGGGAGAGGATGGAGGGTTGGGAAGTGGGAGGGTGGGGTTGGTTTGCACTTTGAATGCTGTGTTGTGTCCCCACGCGTGTGGTGTCCCCACGCGTGTGGTGTCCCGACGCGTGTGGTGTCCCCACGCGTGTGGTGTCCCCACGCGTGTGGTGTCCCCACGCGTGTGGTGTCCCCACGCGTGTGGTGTCCCCACGCGTGTGGTGTCCCCACGCGTGTGGTGTCCCCACGCGTGTGGTGTCCCCACGCGTGTGGTGTCCCCACGCGTGTGGTGTCCCCACGCGTGTGGTGTCCCCACGCGTGTGGTGTCCCGACGCGTGTGGTGTCCCGACGCGTGTGGTGTCCCGACGCGTGTGGTGTCCCCACGCGTGTGGTGTCCCCACGCGTGTGGTGTCCCCACGCGTGTGGTGTCCCCACGCGTGTGGTGTCCCCACGCGTGTGGTGTCCCCACGCGTGTGGTGTCCCCACGCGTGTGGTGTCCCCACGCGTGTGGTGTCCCCACGCGTGTGGTGTCCCCACGCGTGTGGTGTCCCCACGCGTGTGGTGTCCCCACGCGTGTGGTGTCCCCACGCGTGTGGTGTCCCCACGCGTGTGGTGTCCCCACGCGTGTGGTGTCCCCACGCGTGTGGTGTCCCCACGCGTGTGGTGTCCCCACGCGTGTGGTGTCCCCACGCGTGTGGTGTCCCCACGCGTGTGGTGTCCCCACGCGTGTGGTGTCCCCACGCGTGTGGTGTCCCGACGCGTGTGGTGTCCCGACGCGTGTGGTGTCCCCACGCGTGTGGTGTCCCCACGCGTGTGGTGTCCCGACGCGTGTGGTGTCCCCACGCGTGTGGTGTCCCCACGCGTGTGGTGTCCCGACGCGTGTGGTGTCCCGACGCGTGTGGTGTCCCGACGCGTGTGGTGTCCCGACGCGTGTGGTGTCCCGACGCGTGTGGTGTCCCGACGCGTGTGGTGTCCCGACGCGTGTGGTGTCCCGACGCGTGTGGTGTCCCCACGCGTGTGGTGTCCCCACGCGTGTGGTGTCCCCACGCGTGTGGTGTCCCCACGCGTGTGGTGTCCCCACGCGTGTGGTGTCCCGACGCGTGTGGTGTCCCGACGCGTGTGGTGTCCCGACGCGTGTGGTGTCCCGACGCGTGTGGTGTCCCGACGCGTGTGGTGTCCCGACGCGTGTGGTGTCCCGACGCGTGTGGTGTCCCGACGCGTGTGGTGTCCCGACGCGTGTGGTGTCCCGACGCGTGTGGTGTCCCCACGCGTGTGGTGTCCCCACGCGTGTGGTGTCCCCACGCGTGTGGTGTCCCCACGCGTGTGGTGTCCCCACGCGTGTGGTGTCCCCACGCGTGTGGTGTCCCCACGCGTGTGGTGTCCCCACGCGTGTGGTGTCCCCACGCGTGTGGTGTCCCCACGCATGTGGTGCCATGGACGCAAGGGCAGCCTCAAGGGCGCCTAACGGATGGTGCCATGGCCCATGGGGGACACATTGGGGGGAAGTCTTCCCCCCAGTGGGGGAGAGGGCGGAGGGAGGGCACGCGTTCAAACAGGAGTTGATGGCTTCATCCTTATTGAAACTAGGAAAAAGGTAACAAAGCAACCTGACACATTCGGGTCAACCTTAGTCAACGCCATAGAATTTCAAAAAAGAATCACTCATCCTTTCTCTCTGAATTCCCCCTATTATCCTCTCGAACCCCCAGATTCCCCCGGTTGTCCCCTCGAACCCCCGAATCCCCCTGAACTGAACCCCCCCATGATCTCTTGGTTCTAATATTCACAACCCCCCAATTCACCCTATTACCCTCTCACCCCTCCCAAAACCCCCCAATGCCCCTGTTATCCCCTCGAACCCCTGAGTCCCCCCTGTTATCCTATCGAACCCCCAAACTCCCCCTCTCATCCTAGATATATTACTTTTATTTTTTGAAACCCCCCACATCACCCGATTATCCTCTCAAAACCCCAAATTCTCCTGTTATCCTCGCAAACCCCGAATTTCCCTAGTAACCTCTTGAACCCTCAAATCCCCCCATGCACTGCCTCTGTAATTCACCCCTTATCCTCCTCTCCCCTCCGTCCTGCCCCTCCCTTCCTCCCAGCCTCTCACGCACTCGTGCACAATTCACTGCCATCACCTCCCACCCAGATCTTCCCTCACCTGCCCCCTTGCCTTTTCCACATCCAGCGCCAGCACCACACACTTGGCCCTCTCACTGCGCACCGCCTGCCCCACCTCCTTCAACCCCGCCAGCAAATGGCATGAAGGGGGGTAAGTGGGGAGGGGGAAAGAACAGGTGCAAGTTCTGTAGTCTGTCGTCCCCCACCTATTTCAGCCTTGCCAGCACCCGCCACCTCACTGCACCCTGCTCCAATGGGACGGGGGGGGCGGGGTGGGGGTGGAGGGGATGGGGAGGGGGAGGGGGATGGGGAGGAGGAGTGGAATGGGTATGGCGCGTGCCCCATGTGGTTGAGCCGTGGCAGCACACACGGACACGGCTGCATCGCTCCCTGTGTATCGCCCCCCCTGCCCCGCTTCTACCACTGCATCACTCCTTGCTGCGAGTCAGTGGGGAAGCTGGGCGGGCGGGTCGGGGGAAGGGGGATGGGGAGGGCGGAGGGGTGCTGTGGAAGGGGAAGGAGGAACTCCTTCTCGTTCAGAACCATGCACCCATGCGAGGAGGGGAGAGGGACGTGGAGTGGGGAGGGGATACGTGGCATGGCAGGTATCTCTGCCCTAACCAGCATGACGAAGTGACCGCAAGGGGCGAGGCAATGGCAGGGCTGTGCATGAGAGGTAGGTAGAAGTGGGGGGAGCTTTGAGTCGCTCAGCAACGCAAGTATTCTGGCCTTGGTGGGGTGTTGCAACGACAGGGGTCAGCATGAGGTAGAGTAGAGGTGAGGGAAATAGTAGGGTGGGGACGTGGAAGAACTGTAAGTTTTGTGACTGCTGCACTTCTCCCCCACTGTCTTTTATTTGGAAGTAGAAATGAGGAACGAAGGCTTATGTGATACTAAAACAGCAGAGCGCGAGGAAGAGTGACGCGATGGCCGGGAGACAACGCGTCATCGGATTTGAGAAAGGCTATCCAGTAAACGAGTTGTTCCGAACACGGCATTTGTGAATGCGGTGAGTTCTGAAGTCGGCGGCAGTCAGTGGTGGAAATGGGAGCAAAAAAGATGCGGGAAAAGTTGATGGTTGACGAACAAAACAGCCACATGTGCCAGCCGGGAATCGAACCCGGGTTTGCACCGAGCTGATGGCAGGGTGCTATTCTACCACTAGACCACTGGCACGTTGGATGAAAATGTGGATGCGCTTTTGCACTTATGATCCATGCCTGCAGCAGACCGCCAATAGCCCTGAATCTCCACGTTAGACGCCAGCACCACACACTCCCATGCGCACCGCTCGCTTGCCCCACCTCCTTCAGGCCTGCCACCACATGGCGCCTCATTGCTCCCTATACGTGGGGGGAGGGTATGAGCCGAGGAGGCGCCTTGTGCTGGCAGGAAAGAGGGGAAATCTCTATCAGCCCTGCACCTGCCGTCCTGCCGCCACATCGCTCCCTGCTTCCATGGCATGTGCTGATGGCGATGTGAACGACGGCAGGGAGAGATCTGAGGGAGGAAGGGAGAGGTGACGAGGGAGGGAGGAGGGGGGTATGGAGCAGCAGGTCCGGCAGCAGAGCAGCCAACAGCGTGTTGAGCTCTGCTGTAAACACTGCTCAGCAGAGGGCAAAGGCAAGGAGGGCGGTGTGTGGGAGGAAGGAGAGCGGGCTTTGAGGGAGGAGATGGGCGTGAAGGAGGAGATGAGTGTGAGGGGGGAGATGGGTTTGAGGGAGGAGATGGGTGTGAGGGAGGAGATGGGTGTGAGGGGGGAGATGGGTGTGAGGGAGGAGATGGGTGTGAGGGAGGAGATGGGTGTGAGGGGGGAGATGGGTGTGAGGGAGGAGATGGGTGTGAGGGGGGAGATGGGTGTGAGGGGGAAGATGGGTGTGAGGGAGGAGATGGGTGAGAGGGAGGAGATGGGTGTGAGGGAGGAGATGGGTGTGGGGAGGAGATGGGTGTGAGGGGGGAGATGGGTGTGAGGGAGGAGATGGGTGTGAGGGGGGAGATGGGTGTGAGGGAGGAGATGGGTGTGAGGGGGGAGATGGGTGTGAGGGGGAAGATGGGTGTGAGGGGGAGGTGGGTGTGAGGGAGGAGATGGGTGTGAGTGAAGAGATGGGCATGAGGGAGGAGATGGGTGTGAGTGAGGAGATTGGTGTGAGTGAGGAGATGGGTGTGAGTGAGGAGATGGGTGTGAGTGAGGAGATGGGTGTGAGTGAGGAGATGGGTGGGAGTGAGGAGATGGGTGTGAGTGAGGAGATGGGTGTGAGTGAGGGAGGATGTGGTTGCATCGAGGGATGTGGGCGGCAGCTGAACTTCAGGGAAGGGCTGTGAACATGTGATTGCCAAGGCAAGGCTTATGGCACACATGGCCATCGCTCGATGGTGTTCGGGTGTCGACTGGCGACGAATCGACTCACCGCCTCACTTGCTGCTTGCCTCACCTGCTTGTCTCCTCACATCAGCAGTCGGCTGAGCCTTTGAGCTCGGAAGAATGTGAGTCGACTCATACTCCGATGCCCTCACTTGGCCATGTGAGTCACCTGCTGCAGCATGTGTCATGCCAATGTAACTGGCTGGCTAATTTTGCCTTTTCACCACGCTTCCTTCTTGCCCTCTCCTCTTCTTCTCCCTTCACCTCTCCTACCTTGCACCTACTGTTCCTTCTCCTCCCCTCCCTTCTCCTACCCTGCTTGCCCTTTCTCCCCTCCAATCCCTACGTCCTTTCTCCTTCCTCGCCTTCGCCTACCCACTCGTGCTCCATCCACCTGCCTCTCCTTCACTCTCCCGTCCACGCCTTGCCCCTCCTCCCCGACTATCCCCACCCCTCCGCCTGCCCCTTCTCCCCTCCTCCGCCCTCCTGCTCCGTCCCCTGCACCCCCTTCTCCCACCCCTCGCCTCGTTTCCGCCAAACCCAATCCACACGCACTTGCATCTACCTTTCCCCCTCCCCTCCCTGCGCCTCCCCTCCCCACACCGCCGCCCCTTCCCCCTCCGCGCGGCCGCCCGTCTCTGTTTTTGCCCCATATGCGCTCTCCGCCCCAGTGGCGCGCAAGCCGATTTCCGTGGATACTCGTGGTGGCGGCGCAACAGGCGCGCGCAGTGGGGATTGCGGTGGTACAGGCGCAACGACACTGCTGCCTCCGCCGCCGTCGCCGCTGTCTCGGCCGCTTCCGCCGCTGGGACCCCCCTTCCTGCGTGCGCGCTTGCCTCGCCCGCCATTGCCGCTTCTCATCGTGCATCTGCTGCCGCGGCTCTCCAACATCGCGAAATGGTTTTTGTCGTCACCCTCTGCCATTTTTCCGCCGTCGACGGCCGCTAACTAATCGCAATCCGTCTCTGTCTCGTCGCAGTCCGTCGTTCTCTGTCGCTGTCCGTCGCACTCGCATCGCAGTCCGTCGCTCGCGCATCCGTCGCCGCATCGCCGTACGCCGCATGTGCCGTTGTCTGTCTGTCGCTCTGACGCAGTAGCGGTTGCGCCACTTCCTGACGCACCAAACGTGCTTCGATTGCCAATGGAGAATCGCCACTGTATTATGACGGCTCTAAACAAATGTCAAGCCTGCACCTCCTTGCTCACTCGCCATTGCTGCTGCTCGCGCGTCTGCTGTCGCGGCTCTCCGCATCGCGAATTGGCCTTTCTCGTCGCCCTGTTTGTCCCTTCAACGCGCCCCCGATCGAGCCAACCCACTGTTGCCCTCCCAGCTCTCACTTCCTGATCCTGAACGTTGTCTAGCCAGCCGTGGTGGTGACGCGAATAAGAAAGATCTAATTCGATAACTAGGAAACCACAGAACTGAATATTCTAAGAATGACTAAAACGAAGGTTCAATAGGCAAAGCCGAGCTATGCGAGAAGCACGGGGAGATGATGTTCGTAAATGATGCGAAAGGTGCGGTGGCGACTCGGAACTGGTTCGGGGAGAAATATTTGGCCGAACCAGCTGAAACAAACAGCAGCGGAGTGGCACAGCAGCGGTCCCAGGCAGTCATGATCCGTCACAGGCTGAAGGCAGCAGTGATGGAGAAGGGCGAGACCATGTACCAGGACGCAGGAAGGACCTTCGATTGGATGGGTTCCCGACCCCCAGCTCCCTGTAATATCAGTGCAAAAACAACAAAGAACACACGTCATCAGATTGTTTTGATATTACAATGTAGCACAATTACGCAAGGAAATTGAGTGGGAACAGGAAGAGAAGAGGAAAGGAGGAATAACGTGAGGAGAAAAAAGGAAAGAAGAAGAAAGAAGGAAGGGAATAGGGAGAAAACGGTAGGAGGAAGAAAAACCGGGAAAAAGGAAGAAAAAACACAAGACACAACCTCAAGAAAACCCCAATAGCACACACAATTGAAACCCCATCTAACCATCCCATCAAAACACCCCAACTGCACTCCCATCGAACCAAAACCCCCCCCTAAACCCACCCTCTAAACCCGCATGTCTACCAAGTAGGGTGCATCCGCCCACGGAGCATCCCATCCCATCTCCTCCTCAACATCCTCCCGCTCCACCCAAACAGCCTCTGGACCTCTCATCATCGACGCCGCGCGTAACAAGATCACACGCGCCTGAGCCCGCTGCAAAGCCACACCCACGGCCGCTTTGAGTGAACCGAGGCTGAGTTTTGAATGAGTATGATGGTGCATGCTCTGTAGTTGGGAGTAGGCTAACTGGGATAGGGTTTGACTTTCGTTGTAATGCTCTTTGCTTTATAAACCGATGTATGCATGCGATTTTCAATTAGTATTAAGTTAGCCGAAACAAACAGACTAGCGTAAGCCTACAGTTGAAATAAAACAAATACTAAAAATCAGATTCAATTGAATCAAAAGAGTTGTTTAGGCTTTCTTTGTATATAACACCAATAAAGTTATGTGCAATTTTTACAAGCTCGTTTGTAACAACCCAAATTGCCCGCATTGCGTTGTCGGTAATTCTTCCCTACATGACTCGGCATTTGATTGTAGTGGGTCTTGATTGCAGCCTGGTTGACTGTACCTGTTGCTGCCTCTACAGACCTAGACCCTTTATCCTGCACCAGGCCCTCATATATCAGGAAAAAAATCCTGAAATTCGTGATCTTCAGGGCAAAATTTTGTACCTACACTGATTTTTCAGTGTTGAGATTTTAGAGAGACTTATTTTTCAGCCTTTTTTTTTCTCTAAGGAGACTGATTTTTCAGTCTTTTATCGAAGTGTACACTGAATGCACATTCCGAATCCCTGCTATAAAACACCTGAGATTACTAGTTTCTTCAACTTGACGCGTACAAACTGTCAGAATCCCAACCACTAACCATTGGGATAAAAGGGCTTGTTTGTGTAGCGGGTGAGTGCCAGGGCTGACGCTATCAGACTAAATAGTCTGATTAGTCTGACCAATCAGGCTATTGGGCTTGTGAACATTGTACTTCCAGTGAAATCAATATTTCATCCCTAAGAGCCTCAGTGTTATTGTTTTTAGGCCCCTGATATAGAGTAACAGGCATCAGACTTAGTCGTTGCTGGAGTCTGGCACTATAGAGTATACAGTCTGTGGTCCCTGTATACCGGTCTATCGAGAGGAAGCTTCCTCGAATTTTCCGATAATTACCCCCCCCCCCCCCCCCACGCGTAATCATTTCCCCACCCCCCGTGGTTGACTTCTTGTTCGCGTGGGCTGTAAACCACGTAATGCTGACAAAATATTTTGGTGCGCTGTACACAGCAAGGCATCCAGGTGCGGCGTGGTGCGACCAGCATGCCTAGTTCGATGATGACTCTGCAGCCACGTGCACCGCGCCATCCTCACGTAATGTGATGGGTGGAACGCGATTGGTGGCATGGCACAACAGCAATGTGTGGTGGCATGGTTGAGATGAATGTGGCCTAGATTCCAACGCCTGATTCAATCTTCAAACTTTACCGCCAGGCTTTGTGAGCCCTTTCCGTGGCGGCGCGGCTTTCGTTCCGTCTGCTCCAGCCGGTCCTTTGGAGATGAAGGGGGTCTCCCACATTCACATCTTGTTTCCACACGCATTAGTTCTGTTCCAGCTTTTCCTCACGCCATGGCTTCCTTACCTCCCGGGGAGGACTCGCCTGAGACCGTCCCGGAGAAGCCTCCCGATCGTAGGGTTAGCGGCCTAGACTTCCTTCGACCTAGCTTAGTTCCAGTCACACCAGAGCCTCTTGTTACCGCTGCTGTTGTTAATACCGACGCTGACCCATCGTCCAGCAAGGAGGCGCAACCGGAACCCAATCCCGCGCCTCCTCCAGCGCCGTTTTCTCTCCCTCCCGCCATCGCGTCGTCAAGCAAGGGACCGTCACCGCCGGCCAATCCCGCGCCTTCCCCAGCGCCATTCACTCTCCCTCCCGCCATCGCGTCGTCCAGCAAGGGGCCGCAACCGCCGCCCAATCCCCCGTGTGCTCCAGCGCCGTTCATTCTCTCACCCGCCATCGCGTCGTACAGTAAAGCGCCTCCCTCTGCAGTTGGTAGCAGCGGCTGCAACGATGTCGCTCCCGCGTCCGAGGGTCGTACGGCTAAGAAGGCACGCACGGTTTTACTCCGAGGCAAGCTACAGCAGAGCACGTTGACATTTGGCGGTGTGCGCGTGCCACCCCCGAGTGCACCCGAGGAGGAGGAGGCCGAACCTGAGGAACCAGAGGATATACCTGTACGTGCGGACACCAACTCACCCGTTCTGTCCAAGGCTGAGTTGATGGAGCAGAAGTACATTGAGGCAAGTGTCAAGTACAACAAGCAGTGGTTGCCCAAATTCCCGTGGCTGCTCTTGCTTCGCGCTAAAGATGGTGGTCCTAGTGTTAAGTGCAGCGTGTGTGTCTCATTCGGCAAGGAGACAACCAAGTACTCAGGTCCTGGGGATGGCGGTCGAGACCTGCAGACGCAGACGATGCGCATCCACGAACACACAATGGTCCACAAGGAGGCGATGCAGCGTCAGGCGGAGATTGCGGAGGCGATTTCGAACGGCCAGACGAAAATCGATCGGTTCATCAATGCGGACGTGGAGGGTCGGCGTGCGATCCGGCTGATGCGGTCGGTGCAGTTTCTTTGCCAGGAGGACGCGCCCATCAGCATGTTCCCGAAGCTGATGAGGCATCTCGCAGAGCAGGACACCCCCGACATCCCGAAGCAAGCTTACGGGGTGTACCTCTCGCGGTAGGGCATGTATGTTTTCTGTTTTGTGTTTTATGTCATGCCTCCCACCTACGACTAATGTCCTTGTTCGTTATACCCTCTGCAGATACGGTTTCCAGCAGATGGTGCACTGCCTCAGCACCTGGTTGACTCAGCAGCAGATGCAGCACATCGCCTCTTCGCCCTTCCTCGG